GATTATAGGCTAGAGCATATAATTACTGCAAGAGCCTTCAGAGATCCCCCTTTTCTCTGGTACTATCTTTTCTATTAGCCAGGGTATCTGAGTGACTTCATTGAGGAAAGGCCCTCTCCAAATAATAGACATGTAACAAAAGTAAAAATATATCTTTGTTGTTTTCTGTTACTGCATCATTTTCTAGGTTACTCTGATAGATGATGCTCTTATTATCTGTTTAATGTCATTGTAGCATCTGCAATGATGTCCCTGTTTCAATTCCTTCATTCTCTCACTCTTCCACCTCCCAGTCTCACCGCCAGAGGCTTGTCAATTTTAGAGAGGTAAACACCCACTGCTTGTCACAGTTGACCTGATATTATCATGGGTTCATTCAGAAAGTGTGCATTTTGCTTCTGCCAAAGCCTGAAATAACTTCTTGTTTGGGACTACTTAAAGCTAAATTTTAGTTTGAGAGTTTGCTGATGACTCAGACAGTATAAATTTGTACTTTACATCAACATAATGACCAAATTATGGATTCAAGGACATTGCCTTCCTCAGCTAAATTGCCAAGTTGCAGACAGATTTTCATGTAATCTTTGGAGAAAGTGATTGGCATTTCTAATTTACTCTTCTACTAAGGTATAGCACTTTGGTGCCTCTGACTTCGAAGAGGTAAGATCTCTGCTTAGACTCTCTGCCTTAGGCCTTGAAATTTGCTATGTATCCCATGTGCCATGAAAACTGAAATTCAAGTTCACCTACTTTGGCAAATGCCCTCAAATTCCTCTTGTCTCTCTGGTTCCTATCATCACAAAGTCTCTGGCTTGAGTATTCCTTGCTTTCATTCCAGTTCAACAACGTTCTTAATAAAATGTTTTAAAACTTTTATCTAGCACTTTTAGTTGTCTATAGTGAAAGTTTAGTCTGATAATACTATCTTATCAGAATTAGAAATTTCCTTTTTCTATGTGAGTCAATTTGGATGGTTCCTATTATTTTAGAAAAATGTTTATAGCAACTACATTTTCTTTTCAAAATGATTGACCTAGAGTTTTTTTATCATATAAGTTTCATGGATCTTAAAATCTGAACTGTATTGTGGCCATGGCACAATCTTTATAGTTATTTTTTTTAACATCAGTATTGTTATTAATGAGTTTTAGTCCAGAATACAAAGGAAGGCACTAGTTGTTGCCCCAACTTGTTAGTACAAGGATAAACAATAGCTTTTTGTTCCCCCACAAGGGAAAGTTACAGAAGAATACCAGATGGACAAGATAAGACATTTGAATCTAGTTTCGAAAAATCAGCCTGAAACCTAGCAGTAGTACCGTTGCAGGGTAAAAGGCTCTCTCCATACTCTTTGCTCCGCACCCACCCCCATTTACCAATTCAAAATCTGGGACTTTTTTTTTTTAATTTTATTTATTTATTTATGTTAGTCACAGAGAGAGAGAGAGAGACAGAGACACAGGCAGAGGGAGAAGCAGGCTCCACGCACCGGGAGCCCGACATGGGACCCGATCCCGGGTCTCCAGGATCGCGCCCCGGGCCAAAGGCAGGCGCCAAACCGCTGTGCCACCCAGGGATCCCAAAATCTGGGACTTTCTTGATCAAGAGATTCTATGAGTGAATTTCTCTCTTGAGACTTTTCGTGTGCAAACGTCATTTTTCTTGGTTTTGCTGCTGATGTCCTTGACCTCAGTCGCTGGATGAGTGAGGGAGCTGGTGGAGTTCTTTAGGAGTTCTTCTGAGGCACTTTGATCATGACAGTTTTCACTTCTGTGTATGCCTGCAACCATATTCTCCCAGCTCCTGGCCACTCCCAGACATCTTGTAGCCACCGAATGGTGACTGGGCCCCAAATACATCATAGCAGTTGATCCACACAGTGCCAGCCTGGAGGGCTTGGGACAGATAATTGGCTTTGTCCAAGTCCTTGGTGAAGACAGCTGCAGCCAGCCCATACTTGGAATTATTGGCTCTCCCAATAACTTACTCTATGGTCTTGAACTTCAGGATCTGCATCACTGGCCCAAATATCTCCTCCTTGGTGATAGTCATGCTATCTTGCACATCTCCAAACACGGTGGGCTGGATAAAGTAGCCTCGGTCAGCAGCTGCCCCTCCACCACATAATAGTTTCGCCCCCTCCTCCTTCCCAGATTTGATATAACCAAGGATCTTCTTAAACTGAGTTTCATCCACCTGTGGCCCCTGCTCAGTCTGGTTGTCAAAGGGGTTCCCAACTACATGCGACTTGGCCCTGGCAACACTCGGCTCCACAAGCTCAGCATAAACATCTTCTTGCACAAAGGTCCGGGAGCTGGCACAGCAGCACTGGCCCTGGTTGAAGAACAGGGCAAAGTGGGCCTGCTCCACTGCCCAGTTCATGTTTGTATCTGACATGATGATATTGGGGGCTCTTTCCTCCCAGCTCCAGGGTCACTCTCTTGAGGTTACTGTTCCCTGCAGCAACCTGGACTAGGTGGCCAACCTCGATGGAGCCTGTGAAGGCCACTTTGTCCACATCCCCATGGGAGGCGATGGCAGCCCAAGCTGTGGGGCCAAATGCAGGAATGCTATTGACCACGCCAGGAGGAAAGCCAGCCTCCTTAATCAGGTTGGCCACATAGAGGGTTGTGAGTGGAGTCTGCTCAGCTACCTTCATCACAATCACATTTCTGTCACCAGGGTTGGGCCCAGTTTCCAGGCTTGCATCAGGAGGGGGAAGTTCCATGGAATGATCTGCCCGCACACCCTGACAGGTTTGTGGCGGGTATAACTGGAAAAGTGCCCATCGATAGGAATGGTTTTCCATGGTACTTATCAGCCCAGCCAGCATAGTGACGAGGCATCTGAGGACGGTGTCCAGATCCACCAGGTAGGAGGTGACAGGGCTGGCCGTTACCCAGGGTCTCTGAAGCTGCCAGGTAGGTCCAGTCTCGCTCAGTAAGATCCGCCAGGCGGTTCAGATGCGTCCATGCGGCGCCGGGTGACCCCGCAGGAAGGCAGCCCGGGCAGCCTCTACTGCCTTGTCCACATCTTCCTTGTATCCTTCAGCTACCTGACAGAGGACTTCTCTGGTGGATGGATTGATGGTGGGGAATGTTTTCTTGCTGACAGCATCGTGCCACTCATTGTCTATGAAGATCTGGTTGTAGAAGACTTCAGGCTGCTGGTGGGGGCCCAGGCGGGGCAAGCCTGCAGAACCCAGCGCCAACGCCATGTGCTGGGCCTATTGTTATTTTTTACCTTTTCTTTTTGTTTTTCTAACTTGATCAGGCCAATGAGTAATAGAGACAAATAAATAGCAATTAAAATAAAGTGTAATAAGACCTGTAAAAGTTTCTATGAGCGTATTATGGAGGTACTCACAAAAGACATTTTGTCAAGATTTAAATGGGGAGATGTGTGTAAATTTCTTAGCACACTATCTCATACTTGTAAAGACTTCAATAGATGTTAAACTTAGTAGTACTAAGGAAACCTTCCTTACGGCAAAGGTAAGAATTATCAGACAAAGGGATCATTCGATGAATGGGAAAAATAAGTTCGTATAGATAAAGCTTAGAGCAACTAAATAAACTTAAATAAAACTGAGGGATAGAATAAAAGAATAGGAACAGCAAAAGGTGAAGCTGGAGAGCTAAGAGTGGGACATATCTTGTAGGTCCTGAGAGACATAATAAGGAATCTGAATTTTATCTGAAGAGAAATACAGTATCAAAAGATTTCAAGCAGGAAAATATTTATATTTATGTTTTAGAAATATTATTTTGGCTGCTATATGGAGAATGTCTTAGATAGGGCCAGTGATGGATACTAGGAGAACAGATAGTGGATTATTGAAGGAATACAGGCAAGAAATGAAATGGGAAGAATGGGTGAATTTAACATCTGGTATGTGAATCCTTAGAACTTTATAACTGACTGGATGTTGGGAGTGAAGGACAGACTAGAGTTAAGGACAAAGCTCAGGCTTCTGGCTAGGACACCTAGGTGGATGGTAGGATCATCTACTGATATGAGGATCAAAGAAAAGGAACAGGTTTGGAAGATACAATAAGTTTTTTTTTTTTTTTGTTCACGTTGAATGTGGGATACTTTTGATACTTATATGCAAAAAAAAAAATGTATCCTCTGTTCCTTGTTTCCCTCAGGAAAGTGCAAAATATGTAGGTTTCCCTATAACTACCACTAAAATGACCGATTTTCCTTAAAGTGAGGTGGGAGATCCTACACAAAATTTCAAGAACAAAATCCAATTCTTCTGTCCTTTTCTCTGCCTTCTCTACATTTGGCTCTGTATTAGATATGTTCTGATTTTATCCCTTATAACATATGGTTATCAGATGATGTAATTTAGCTTATAGACAATCCAATTAAGCTTTCCGTGGCCCAAAAGACATGTGGTTGGCAACCTCTAAGATCGGCCCCCAATGATATTCACTCCCTGGTATTCACACATAGTATAGTCCTTTGTCCTCGATTGTGGGCTGAACTTTTTGACTTCCTTCTAGGGAACACAATATGGCAGAATTGATGAGATGGCACTTCTGAGTCAGATTATAAAAGGATTGTGGCTTGTTTGGGGTGCTGTGTTTCATGTTCTCTCTTGGGTGTTTTGTAATGGGCGAAACCAACTAATATCATAATAGGGCAGCCCTGTGGAAAGTTGCATGTGGCAAAGAACTGAGGCCTACCAAGAGCTATGTGAAAGATCTTTAAAGTAGATCCTTTTCCATTTGAGCCTTCAGATAAATGCAGCCCTGGCTGACATATTGATTGTTGTCATATGAGAGACTATGAACCAGAATCACTCAGCTAAGCTGCTCCCAGATTCATCACTCAGAGAAAATATGAGATAATAAATGTATGTTCTTAGCCACTAAGTTTTGGAATTATTTGTTATGCAACAATGTATAATTAATATACCTGCCTTGCTGGCAGGGCAACCAGTTTGAGTCACAGACAATATATTTGAGATATAGAAATGAAAATGTAATGACTAAGATCATAAACTATTTTATTTATTGAAGAATTAAAATAGTACATTAACAAACCTTATTTGATAGAGAAATAATACCAGAATTCTTCTAAATGTGATTATCAGCTAAACCACCAGAAATACTGGTTTTGCTGAGTTCTTCCATAGCTGTAAAACTCAAAGGCTAAGAAATTGGCTGAAGGCAGGATATGAATCACTGGACAGTTTCTTCTGGAAAGACAGAATGAATCAATAAGGCCCTTTAATAAGGAAGTTGCAAGAAACCTTACCATTTGGAGAAAGAGTACTCTGTCATTCCTGTACCCAAGGCCTAGGCCCAGCCAAAAGGAAGCAGAGGGTTGGAACTGTGATCTAATGAGTCTGGCTCCAGAGCTCCCTTCAGCTTGCCTTTTGCTTGGTGGTGGAGAGTGTACTGGGCATGATTTAAACTAGAGTCCTATTTGACAACAAGAAGATGCAAAAATTAAAGTCCCAGACCCATCCTTTGATCTTGACTTATTAGTGCCACAAGTTCTCTTGGCCTCTCATGTCCAAAACTGCTCAGGTATTAGTGTCACCACCTTGAGGGACACAGTTGCCCCCAGGAGTGGGTAGATGGTTGTTCTGGTGCCTGAGATGAGAAATGCCTGGCCAACACCCTCTTCTCTGGTTCTATGAGACAGGGACCAAAACAGGGAAAAGATGAGAGGGGGACAAAGACACTAGGCCAGGAGGTGATCATTTAGGGCTTTGTGCTATAAGTGATTTTGCATTTCCCGAGATGAAATAAGCCTCTCCAGCACAAGGCAGTAGGATGTCACAGCCCTAAGGTCTGGCTGGTTTTATCTATCTGGCAGTTCAAGGTCAGCGCAAAGGACATCCCCAACACCTGAGAAAAGAGATGGGAAAATGTGAGGTCTTCATAGGAGGAAGCATCTCTTCCACAACCGCTGAGATTAGCCCCAGACAAAAAGAAAGTATCTATCACACTGGAACCACCCTTCCTGCCATTACTTCCAATTCCTTCTCTGTTCTCTCCTTTAGCTTTAGAATGGTAGTGGGGGTGATGGTGTCAGGAGGGTAGAGGATAGAGTGTTGGGACATCTATGTATCATTAAGAAGTCACTTGTATAGTCAAGTTCTGCACAAGTCAACACTTTGTGCAATGAATCATCTCTACCCATGCCTTGAGAATGACTGATAAATATCAGAGATTTATCAGAGATAAATTATTTCCTTCTGAGCTTCTTGATTAAATCTTAGCTATTCTGTGATATACCCAAAACACTTGGGTGTAAAAATAGTAGAGATGTCACCTAATAAAAAAGAACACAAAGCTATCCCAAATTCACCCCTGACTTACCATACTAAGCAGAGAAACAAGGAGGAAATTGATTATAATTTTTATCAACAGCTCCTGCTTGGCGTACAAGGCCAATTATTCACATAGAATGTTTATCCTCACAAGCTTTTCTTTACCAGCTGAGTGAATGACCAAAGTAGGGGTCTGCTTGATGACTACTAATTTGACTATGAAGCACTCATATATCTTAGGGATAAGTTGACCGTGTAGATCTCGCAGCATATTTTCTGTATGCCTTAAATTGGTAATGTCATCATTTGCTACATGACTAGGGAAGCTCATATTATTGAGCATGTACTATGTAACTGGTACTGTTCTAAAACTTTATGTGACTTAACTAATTTAATCTTCACAAAAGTCCCATGATTAAGTTCTTACCTGGATCACACATACACAGATAGTGATGATCCCAATATGAAGGAAATTGGAGTGAAACCACAGTTTTACTTTTGCATAGCAACCCTAAAAAAAAAATTACAAGTACAAATGACACCACTGTATTATTCAACTTTATCAGGAAGATAATTTCAGAAGATAGTTTATATTTTGCCTTATGCCAAGAGTCTTAGGCCATTTTTATTTTCTTCCTATGGATGAAGAAATAGGCATAAAGTAGAGAATATTAAACCAGAGACTTTTCTGGTGTTGTTATTATCACAGTGGTACCTAATGCAAAAGTCCGAGATTTCTACAAACTGAGTTAAACTAGCTCCTCAGAGGCCTTTCAGCAATAGATGTCCTTATGTTCTTTGAATATCCTCTGATGACTTGGGACAAATAAATGGGGATATGGCCTACACAATTCTAGGATTGGCTGCATTTCAGCTTCTGCTAAAACCTAAACCTATCATGGCCCTTCCAAACTCCAGGGCAGTGCTAGTTAGTGAGTGTCTTAGTCTTTCTTCATAGAACTAAAAATTTTTGGAGATTTTCCAACAATCCCAAGGTGGATAACATGGGGTAACAGGAATTTAGGAACTTCATGTTGTTGAAATATAATCTTGGCTTCTTCTCTGGGCCTAGTCTGAAGGTCTGAATTAAGTGGGCAGGTTGTTTCAACAGTTCTACCAACTGTCTCTCCCCTAACTCCAGTCTCCTTCACTTATGGTTCATTTCACCAAGGTGCTGGATGCTGCCATTTCAAGGAAGAAAAGCAGAGAAACAGAAAGAAGGGAAGCTTTTCTACCACAACTTTATAACTTTTACTTTCAATCATAAGGCCAACTTCTTTTTTTTTAAAGATTTTATTTATTTATTCATGAGAGAGAGAGAGAGAGGCAGAGACACAGGCAGAGGGAGAAGCAGGCTCCATGCAGGGAGCCTGAAGTGGGACTTGTTCCCGGGATCTCCAGGATCAGGCCCTGGGCTGAAGGCGGCGCTAAACCACTGAGCCACCCAGGCTGCCCCAAGACCAACTTCTTGCTCAAGAAAAATATTGATATAATTCTCTGTCACTATCACATAAACTTTCTACTCTAATGTAATAGTGTAGGGTAGCAAGATTTGTGATGCCATCTCTAGTCTAAATGAGCTTGTTCCTTTTTTAAATTTTATCTAGTGGTCTGGACAACTTTTGTCTAATTTGTCTAGTTACCTAGGTTGTCCTCCTGGCTTCTATTTTGTCCAATGTTCCTTGTTTTTGGTTGGGAGGACTAAGTCCTATATGACTGGAGTTTCTAAGATAATTGAAAGTTTAACCAAAGAGATTAATAACAGAAAAGTTGACAAAAAATTACCTGAACTTGTGGATCTGAGGGGCAAGATTTTGGTGGGTGACCATTCCAATCACTTGTGCCATTTACACCGCAACATTGCAGCTAAAAGCCAAATCCCCCCAAAATTTGATGGTTAGAAAGTCAACAGAAAGAAAACTGGAACTTGGCGAAAAGGTGGTCCCTTCAGATCTGACTCTAGCAGAAAATACAGAATTGACTTGACTACTATGGTCCCTTAGAACAAAATACTTTCAAATCTATTATACCATTTCATTCACATAAGACTCCTTGAGGTAGAAAGGGCGGCTTTAACTTATTTGCATTTTACAGCATTCAGGGGATTCAGTCTGACATGTTTGGGTCTTCCTTAGATCTAAGTAGGGCTTAGATAATGAGCCTATCTGGAAATAAGAGAAGGGTAAGAGAGTGTAGACAACTTTGTACCAATCAGATCGATTCCTGTGCTTTCCCCTTTGTGACTGCTAAACATTATTTTGGACCTAAGAGTTGTAGACCTTAGATTCTAAACATTTCAAGAAAGTAAGTTCCATTAACCCCCAGGCACTGAGGTTGGAAAATTAAGTCTGGGCTGAGCTGAGGAGGAGTCCATCTGTACTCACAACTGACTGGATGGAATCCCACGTTGCTCTGGTGCTGTTGTCCAAGTGGTATTGCTTGATGCTCTCAGTCAGGCTCTCAGACACATAATCATTCAGCTAGGTAGGGCATATGCCAGCAGAGAAGACATTATAAAAAGCAGGTAAGTTCAAGGAATAAGCAATTTCTAATATAGATTGGTGGTTCCATTTGCTCCTCCCTTTCAAATGATCTCCTCAGAGCTAAGGATGTGCAGAGAGGGAGTTTATATTCAGGGAGAAGTGCTGAGACTGAGATGGCATTGTAGGAAGGAGTACATAGTAGTCTCTCATCCTTCCAGAACTCTGTTTTTTCACAAGAGGACAGATCATCAAAACATGGGCTCCTTAAGGCATGGAAGCAGACATTTTCTACTTCCAAACACATGGAGAAAAAGAAGTCGGAGGAAAATAAGCTTGTTTTTACCTCTCTTTCTATTTTTCCTTCAAAGCATGACTCAATTACAATTTCTTTGATGATATTTTTTTCCTCTCTCCATTTACAATTTATTTTTCTTCCATCCTTCCAGTTTGCCTGTATCTCTATTACAGGACTTATTTTGTGCCAGCTTCTCCATAGTCAGAAATACAACAAGGAATTCTGTTCTTTATAACTTACCTTCTGTTCATACACGAAGAGCAGGATAGCCAAGGTCACCTCAGCAAGGAGGATAATCAGCAGCAGGATAAAGAACTGAGGCAAAGCAGAGACATGCTCACAGCACTGATTCTAGTTCTTCCCTCATTCCCACTCTACCCTGGCAGTATCCAGGTGTGTCTCTGCACATGTGCAGAGGTTCCTACTCCTGCTTGCCCAGATCTTCATAAGCCTCTTGTTTTGTGAGGAATATATGTGATGTTTTTCTACAACTGCATTCCAAATCTCTAGAGGGCAGATCAGCTGTCTTCTAACTTTGTGTTTCCCTTCCCATTGTGCCTATCCAGCTCTATGCACATAATGAGTATGCAACATTATTTGTTAAATCAGTGAAGCAATTTTGGCATCAGCTTTTTGAAACAGTTGAGCAAAAGAGCATTAAACTAAACTATGTGTCTTTAGAGTTTGGGGCCTGGTTGTTTCAGCAAGATCAAGGCTAGTTTGGGGTGGGGGACAGGTGATGGTGGAAGTTGAAAGGAGCTCTTTATAGATGGGGAGAAGAGGTATTCTAATCACAGTCCTAACTTTTATTTATCTCCACCTGTAGATGCTTACTCCCTTTATGCTAATCACATACTACAGAAAACACATTTTCACTGATTCCCTCTCCTTCATTTTTTTTATCCCAACACTAATTTTGACTGCTTAAATCTGTTTAACACTTTCCCTATGTCTAACATCCCCCATATTTTGCCATTAATCCAGGAACTGAGAATGGGAATGTTTTTGCTCTATCTCTTGGCTCCAGTTTAAGGGTTTAAGGGTTGATCCATAAGGGAAAGAAGATTAATCAAATGACTTAAGGAAGAACCAAAGCAACTGGGAATCCTTATTTATGGATGGGTGACACATATCAAGCAGTGTTCTGGGTACACTTAGAGATACAAGGAGCTCTTCTTTCATAGAGTTTACAGGCAAAACCTAAGCCTAAATGTGTTCTTCAGGACACTTAACTGACAGGGAACAACTGAAAAGCTCTAGCATCTCTCATGTTACATAATAGCTGCCACCTAAGACCTCGCTTAAGTTGAGTCATCATTCTGTCATGTATCTTGTGCAGATTTGAGATAGAGAAATATCTTCTGCCATTTTAGAAGGGTCACAGTACAAAGAAGAATCTAGAGACTAGATTTTCCATCAGTTGGTGATTCTGACACAGATCCTAAAAATACATACTAATGTGAAAAGCATTTAGGCAGATGAATGACATTTGATTTCAACCAAATATGAAGAAATGAAATGCCATAAAGGGAAATTATGACAAGGGTCATTATTAACACTGTAAAATGAATCTCAAGGAAGATAGCAATGTCCTCTTCTACCTATCCTGTGACCCAAGTCAGAAACAAAATACTATTGATCTAGATAGACTTGGCTGGCCTGAGGTGTCAAACCTATGATCCTATGATTTCCTTGTGCCCATAGGTTAGCCACCAAGAAACATCTTGCCTGGGGCTTCAGGCATCATGTTCCTCTACTTAGGGTACCACAACTGCTGCAAGAGACTCACCGACATAAGCAGGCACTTATTCTCCTTGATGGAACCCATACAACCCAGGAATGCAACCACCATGATAATGGAGCCCACGATGACAAGCACATTGCCCAGTGTGAGGGAGAGGAGCAGCCTGAAGTTGTTGTGAATCAGGAAATAGATCCCAAAGCCCAAAATGCAGCAGCCACAGAACTGAAAGAAAGAATCCCACAATACTCTTGAATATCTGTTCACATTCTCACTTGAAAATAGAATCACATCTTTCCTTAGCTCTATCAAGACTGTCATGATGTCCCACTCATGCTTCGTCCTACCCATATCAGATACCAGAGGAAGCTCACTGTGAGTAATATAGTATCTTCATGCTTCAGATCCCATTCTCCTTGTTCCCACAATAGCTTACAAATCGTCTTCCCTTTGGAAACCACAATCATGTACAGGGGATGATGCCCTGTTTGAGAAGTTTATCCTGCTAGGAAGAAAACTAGAGAAGCCAAACTTTTAAGGATCTTCTCATAGACACATGAGTACAAACATCCTATATTTGAAATTCAGTTGCTGAATTTGGCATAGTGAAACCTTCCCAGAAAAGGCGACTTCCCTTTCAATCAGCTATTCATCCAACGGATTCGGAGGAGGAGGGAAGTAAGAAAGTGTCATTTATGCACAGAATTTAGAGTCTCAGGTTTCTCACCAATAGATGTCAGCAGTGAGCCTTAGTAGCCTAAAGTTCCCAGAGAGAGAAATAGCATGCCTATAAATAACTGCACTAGTACTTTTCAACTTTACAGGCTTATACTATGGTGGGATGAGAAGAGGGGAGGAAATTATTATTCTCTTGTAAGCGGGGTATGCCATTCAGACATGCATGGGTTGCTCTCCATAGCAGGCTCTTCAGCAGAGGAGAGAGAAATAGAGTGTAGCTTGGATTTGATGAGCTCAGCCATGTTCAGAAGAGGCACACTTACCCAAAAAAGCAAGTTGAAGAAAAACAGAACGTACTTCAGCAACTTCAAGCCACTCATGCCCATGCCGGGAAATCCTTGCTCTAAAAAGTAAAAGGAAGAAAAGAGTAAGTAAGTGACCTGGCTCTGCAAGGTGGCACCAGTGAACAGAGGACAGATATATTCAGGATTCAAGAGCTCCAGCACCACCTCAGGTTTGAGCTGTAGCTCTCCTCTAGGAAATTTCTCCAAACTCCCTGTTCTCTCAGTTTCTGAACTAAGGTATAATTGGTTTATCTTGGACACTCACTTTCATTCCAATTCAGCAAGCCAAGAATGCTTATCACTGAATTAAGCACTGTAGAGGAGAATGAATCACAGTCTCTATCACATTTGGTCTCTAGGCCAATGCTCAGAGACTAATGCTTGGGCATTTATTCAAGAAGGCAGCCCAGGGGTCAGGAATTCATCAGTTGTGGAGAACTCAGTGATTTGATCAGCCAATTCCTGATCATGTACATACTACATTTGGTCTATAAATCTCTCCAGATGAAAATGGGGGAGCATACCTATGTATGATTCATTCTTTTACTGAAGAAACATTTATGATGTTTTCTGTGGAAGATATAACTGTGACTAAGCAGTAGCTATCTTCCAGAAGATATCAATCTGATAGCAGAGATAAAACTAGCTATCTAATATTCAATGAAGAAAGAAAAGAGATAGCAATGGAATTTTGATATATATAATTATATATATATTTTATATATAAAATTATATATATAATATATAATTTTATATATATATAATTTCATTTTCTCAGCAAAGACACTAGAAATTGAGGCTTTTCCTCCATTCTAGAGATCTGGATACAAATTTTGAATTTTCTCTCAGACACAATTAGGTTCTATAGAGTCACTCATTTTAAAACTGCACATAAGACTGCTATATAAAGCAGAACGTCAATTTATTGTTTTTTCCCTATTAGAACTATGCCTTTTCTAGTGTATAGATTGCTTACACAATCCATCGCCTGTACCCTCTTAACAGTATCAAGATATCCAAAAATCAGATGGTCTTGAGGGATAGGTTATGTAGGCTGTTGTGTGATGAGCTATTTGTGTTCCACAATACAATAATCTCTGTTGAATAGACCAAATATGTATATTTATCTCATACTATTTTCCCTTTCCTTTACTATGTCCTTCTCTATCCCTTTCTCCTTCTTGTCTTGACCCTCAGGATTATTCTTAATTCTTCATCAATATTTTAGCTAAGTTAAAATAAAATTCATTTGATTATAAGTGTGTGTATATACTTGCGAAGTTAAAAAACAGTATGATGGGGCACCTGGGTGGCTCAGTGGTTAAGCATCTGCCTTTAGCTCTGGTCATGGTCCCAGGGTCCTGGGATTGAGTCCCTCCTCAGATCCCCACGGGAAGCCTGTGTCTCCCTCTGCCTATGTCTCTGCCTCTCTCTCTCTATGTGCCTCATGAATGAATGAATGAATGAATGAATAAAAATAAATAAATAAATAAATAAATAAAGTTTTGAAAAGTATGATGATTTACTACATAGGCTTTGAAGTCAAACTTGAATTCAACTCTCTCATATGTCATTAAACAGATACACTAGATTTGGAAGCTTACTTAACATTTCTAGTCACAATTTATTCCTATGTAAAATGGGAGTAGTACTTATATCTCCTCGGATGGATGCGAAGATTAAATGATCTTACAACAGAGATATAGCTATCAATGGTGTACTACTCAGGAATAAAAGGAAGTGAACTGTTGCTACACAACACAGCATAGATGAATCTCAAAATAATTATGGTGGATACACAAAGCTAGACCAAAAATATTAGTACATAGTGTATGATTCCAGTTATATAAAATTTTAGAAATGAAAACTAACATATAGCAACGGAAAGCAGATCAATGATTGGAGATAGAGTTAGAGGAAAGTGGTTGTGGTGGCGGGGGGTTAGATAAAGAAAAGGAGAGTAGGGAGAGGTGGGAGAAAGGGATGATGAAAGACCATGAATCTTTTGGAAGTGATGAATGTGTATTATCTTGACTGTAGTGATGGTTTTATATATGTATGTGTATGTCATAAAGCCCTTCCTAATTTGCCCTATCTCTCCAAATTCATGGCAACATTCTGTGTCTTATATTTTATTTTTTTAATTTTTATTTATTTATTTATTTAATTTATAAAATCACTTTATTTTAGATATTCATGACATGTAAAAATGATGTACATACCAACATACACAATTTGATGAGTTTGGGGTAAGTGTACAGTTATGAAACCATCACCACCATCAAGACCATAGACATATCCATCATTTCCTGAAGGTTCCTCCCATCCCCATTCTTATTATTTTTATTTTTTGTGATAGTAACACTTAATATAGGATCCACCCTCTTAAGAAGTTCTGAATGTACAATATTATATTGTTAGCTATAGTCACTATGCTGTATAGTAGATTTCCAGAATTTATTTATTTTGCACAACTGAAACTTTGTATCCTTTGACCATCATCTCCCTACTTACCTTTCTTCTAAGCCAGTAGCAACCACCATTTGACCCCATGCTTCCGTGAGTTTGACATCTTAGATTCCACATATAAGTCATACAATACAGTATTTGTCTTTCTCTGCTGTGCTTATTTCACTTAGCATAATGTCCTCCAGGTTAATCCATGTTGTCACAAATGGCAAGATTTCCTTCTTTTCTTTTTCTTTTTTTTCCTTGTTTTTTAAGGTCAAATAATATTCCATTGTGCATATGTACCACATTTCCTTCATTCATTCATGTATTGATAAACATTTAGATTGGTTTCATATCTTGGCTATTGTGAATAATGCTACAATAAACATGGAATGAAGGTATCTCTTTGAAATCCTGATTTCAGTTCACTCCAGTTTATTCCAGAAGTGAGATTGCTGGATCATATGGTAGTTCTATATTGAACTTTTTGAGTGTTTTCCATAAGGGCTGTACCAACTTATATTTCTACCAACAGTGCACCAAGCTTCATTTTCTCCACATCCTTGCCAACACTTTTTTCCCCAAATATTCATTTATTTTTTTTTATGGTAGAAGAAGAACAATATTCATTTCTGTTTGTTTCAAGCTTTTATTTAAATTCTAGTTAGTTAACATATGTATAATATTGGTTTCAGGAGTAGAGCTCAGTGATTCATCACTTATATAGACACCCAGGGCTCATCACAGGTTCCTCCTTGATAGCCATCACCCATCTATCCCATGCCTCACACACCTCCCCTCCATCAACCTTCAGTTTGTTCTCTGTCATTAAGAATCTCTTATCGTTTGCCTCGCTCTCTTTTTTTTTCCTTCTTTCCCCTGTTTATCTGTTTTGTTTCTTAAATTCCACGTGAGTGAAATCATATATTCTAGCTCCATCCAAGTCATTGCAAATGGCAAGATCTCATTCTTTTTGATGCCTGAGTAATATTCCGTTGATATATATACCACCTCTTCTTTATCCATTTGTCAGTTGGGTTCTTTCTATAAGTTGGCTATTGTTGATAATGCTGCTATTTTAAAATCTAGGAAGCAACATTGACCACTTGTCTCAGTGCCTCCTTTTTTTTACCTGTGGTTATGGGATTCTTCGTTGGAATTTACCATTTTTCTACCCCTCTGACACCTTAATTTGGTTAGCCACTATTTATCCTGACACTCAGCTCCAGTGTCACTCTTCCAGTAAGCCCTCATTGATTGGGTCTATTTCTCCACACCCAACCCCACTCCCCACAAGGAGTACCTGGTATACCTGCACATCTCTGTTATTGCACTAGCCTCTTTATTTTGTAATTATCTCTTTCCTTTCTAGAATGTGAACTCCTTGAGGGTAGGAATTGGTTTATTCATCTTTGAATCCTCGAGATCCAACACAGTCCCCTGATTACACTAAAAAAGTAAGATTATTCAATAAGCTTTTGTCAATTAATTCTACATAATCTGGTATAGTGGAATGAACATTACACTGTGTTGGGCTTGAGTTTATCCTGCCAATAAACTAATCTTTTGGATGTGGACAGATAACTTACACAGAAGATTGGACTAGATGCCTCCTAGGGTCACCTCATCCCCCCAAATCCTAGGATTCTATGATCACTGCTTTAGGCTCCTGTAATCAAATGGTCCATCCACAGAACACCAACTAATGAAGTGCCCACAGACATGTGGATATCCTTATTGAGTTTTTTCCTTTCACAGATGGGAAGAAGAGCCTCTTCTTTCTCCTTCATTGACTTTTCATTTGCTCAGACTCCCCCAAATCCCCAGATTTTTGAAGGAGAAAATCTGCCCATTTGGTAAAGATTGTCACTACTTTTACCATGTGTATGTCCCAGTTTTCCTATTAACCAGACTGAATGGCACTGTTTCCTCTTCCTTTCTTCATTTTAACTTCGTCAGTTATTGGGCTCCTGCCCCTTTCAACCCCCCTGTCTGGAAGAAATGACACCTCTTTGCAGTCAAAATCTGCTGCATGATTCATGGCTCTGTGAAGAAAGTCCCTGACGTCAGCTTCCAGGAAACCTCTGTGACCAAACTCCAGTTAGCTGTGGCCACCTCCCACAGCTCCTCGTGCAGGCCAGCAATAAAGTTCACTTTTTAGTTCCTTCCAAGCAAAGATCTTGGGCTAATAAATTGTCTTGTGGATTTCTAGTTCAATCCTTCCTTTTTATTTGGCCTGTTCTTTCAGAGCCATCAAATCTAGTCTTGAATGCAATCGAGTTTAGAAGTAGCTAAAGTCGGGATAGAAGCTTCAAGAAGCTACCAATTCAATCCAGCCTTATGTGATCCCAATCTTGGTGCCACAGCAAGACAGCTTTGGTGTTACATATACTATTATATTTATGAGATATTAATCTGTGTTCCCCAAACAAAAACAAGCAACCAAACAGAACCATAGGGAATGAAAGGAATCCATGATCAAATAATTTTGGAAGTAAATAGGATTAAATAAAAATAAAAGAAAAAAGCAATAAATGGTTCTTTTAATGAATGACTTCTGAGAAGCTCATTATATACTAATGTACATTGTCACTATAAACCTGTTTTT